ATCGAACTCATGCGGAAGTGGCTTAAGCTTCTTAGTGCTGTGCTGTAACCTGCTGCGCCACCAGGGAGGGCCACAGTGTTGTGTTTTAACTTGTTGGTCCACCAGGGAGGGCTCGGGGTGCTTGGTGGTGGGGGGTGGTGGCTTAAGTATTCATTACTTATTCCTAGTAAAAAATGCTCTTTCTGACATGTTAATTTTTTTACTTGTTTAAGATCTTGGTTCTGGAGATGAAAAAGTGAGAAAAAGTGATGTCAAGAAATTTCTGACTCCAGGATACTCAACCTCCGGGCATGTGGAGTTGTACACGGTGAGTTAGTAAATGGTGCCCCGTCAGACAGTATGTTGGCAGGAGCTCACAGAAGGGAGTAATTTACAGTTTACTTTTGTCTTCTACAGATCAGTGTAGAAAGAGGAATGTCCTGGGAGGAAGCTACCAAGATTTGGGCTGAGTTGACAGGACCAGATGATGGCTTTTACTTGTCCCTGCAAGTAAGGTTTATTTCTTTAAAATGCCTATTGTTCAGATAATGCTCTTTTCAGTTCCAGCACTTGTTATTCCCTGCAAGTTTTGCAATGGTGTGTTGATTTTTCTGTCTGACCATTCAAAATTTGAGTTTCTCTGTTTGTGTTGTTCCATGATATACCTTGAGGGATTACTAGGGTCGAGGTGTTTTTTTTGTTTTTTTTTGTTTTTTTTTTTAAGATTGATTTATTTATCCACAGAAGAACTGGGTACAGGCCAGAGGTGCGGGGGTTGGGGAGTAGAACAGGCAGATCCACTGAAACACACTAAGGGGAGCAAAGGGATTGGTTAGGAGAGATCTACCATGCCATGTGTCACCTCCCTGGCCAGGGATTGAACTCGTGCTGCAGTGGCTGCAGATAGCAACATATTGCTGCACTTCAACCCATGACACCATGTTTGTTTTTATATATTTTTGTGCATTTTTCCATCTCAGTTGCAATCCCCTTGGGTTTCCCATCACCAAATCATCCATGTGCCATCACCATAGTCCAGTGCATTTCTCTCCCCCCATTGTTTTTGATCCCCTTCCCCACTCCACCCCCACAAAATGTCTCTGGTATATAGCTGTTCATCATTATCATTTTAAATAGCTACATATTCTTAACAGATTGAACCATGTTTTGATGATGCAGTGACTTTCCTTAGTTCTAACAATGCTCTCTCTCTGTAAAGATTCACTTTTCAGTTATTAGCGTTAACTACGTCTTTATTTGGAATTTGCCTCAGGAAAGGGGCAGGTATATATACATACACACATACATATAGACTTGCCTACATTTATGTCACACTTGATACACTATTTCCAGTTCATATTGGTTTGCCCTATGTATGTCTATGGAAGTTTCTAATTGCTGTTTTTTATGGAAGTTTTTAATGTGCTATATATATATCACCTTTTGTATGATTTTTTATTATTTGATACTTATCTTCCTTCTTACAAATAACCCTTATTCTCCAGGGCATACAAAGATGATAGTATATTATCAGTAAGTCCTCTACCATGATACTCCTGAAAAGAACTTGTTTAAAAATTGGATATTTTGGGGGGCCCTCGCTGGTGGCACAGCGGGTTAAAGCACAGCACTAACAAGCTAAAGCCACTTTAGCATGAGTTCGATCCTTGACCTCCCTGGAGGTGATCCACATGGCGAGGCAGACCTCTCCTGACCCACCCACTGCTCTCCTCCACAGTGTACTTTGTTGATCTGCCTGTTCTGCTCCCCACTCTGTCTCTGCTGAATCCTCTCACCGCCCCTTCACCTCTGGCCTGGGCCCCAGTTCTATATGTACAAATAAAAAACTCTTAAAAAAAAAAATTTTTTTTCCCCCCTTAGACTTACATCTCCCATTCTCTAATAATAAAGTTGTGACTCCCTGATGGCCTAGGTATTAAGTCTTAGTGTTATCATCACTGTGGCCTAAGTTTGTTCCCTAGCCAGGGAGGGACCCCCTCATAGGACGCAGCAGACTTCTTCTCTCCTCTCCTGGTCATCTCTTCCCACTGCTCTCTTTACCAGCATATTTCATTAGATCCACCTGTTCTGTTTCTCACTCTGTCTCCTGTGGGTTCTCTCTCTTTCTCTCTCACACGCACACATACACAAATGTACCTCTGGCCTGCACCCCAATTCTTTTTTATTATTTAAGAGTTACTTATTCATACAGAACTGGAGTACAGGCCAGAGATTCAGGGGCAGTCAGAGGCTTCATCAGAGACAGAGTGGGGAGCAGAACAGGCAGATCAACGAAGTACACTGCTGAGGGGAGCAGCAGGTGAGGCAGGAGAGGTCTGCTGCACCATGTGGATCTCCTCCAGGGCCAGGGATCAAATTCTCACTGAGACGACTGCAACTAGCTTGCAGTACTGCATCCTAACCCATTGTGCTACCAGGGACAGACCTCTACCCCAATTCTATGCAAAAAAAATTATAAAAAGAGTGGTTTCAGAGCCCTCCCTGGTGATGCTTTGAGTTAAAACACAGCACTAAGAAGCTATTTGCAGCATAAGTGTGTTCCCAGCCAGGGAGATGACCCACATGGTGCAGCAGATCTCTCCTGTCTCAATTGCTGCTCCCCTCAGCAGTCTGTTCTGCTCTCCACTCTCTCTAGTGAATCCTCTCACCCCCTGTACCTCTGGCCTATGCCCCATTTTCTGTATGCATGTATCAATAAATCTTTAATAAAATGAACATGGTAATTATATAGTATACTCTACTTTAATTCTGTATAATTTTCATTTTCCAAGTAATAAATTTATATTTAATGCTCACCATTCACTAATTCTAAGGTTAATCATTGTGGTCTTTTTCTTTTCTTTTGGGCTGAAGCTCATTCTGTGGACCACCTTCAAGAAAGGCTATAATAGGAACATACCTCCTTCAGCTCTTTCATGTCTGTGAGCTTGTGTATTTGAAAGATGGTTTTACCAGACAAGAAATCGTTCACTTTCTCTTTCCTTCAGCAATTTACATATGTCTCTATTTAACAGTTATTTTAAATTTGATGATGCTCTTAAGGTGATACTCTAATTTTACTTCACTATTTAATTTGGTTCTTTGTCTACACGCCAAAAGGATTCTCTCTCCATTGATTCTACTAGAGTGCAATCAGGCATTTAGGTATTTTGTGTTGGACATCTAGGTCTCTGCTCACTTAGACCTCAACAGCACTGCTCTGTGCTTGATTAGCTCATTCTGTGTCAGAAAGCTGATATGTGAAAGGCTCTTTTTCTTTTTATTGATTAAACTTCTTACATTCTGTTAATTTTTGTACAGTATTTGATTTCTCCCCTCAGGTATAGTTCCCATAGTTCTGCTAACCGCTGCACCCGTGAACCATCACAGTAGTCCCTTATCCTTTGACCCCTCTCCCTTTCTCTCCTCTTCTGGATGCTTCAGATCTGTAGTTTGCCTGCAAATTTTGCATTTTTCCTGACCCTTTGTTTAATTTCCCTATATTTGTCCCATAGATGATATGCAGTAGTTTTGTTTCCTTGTGACTTATTTCATTGAGCATAATCCCTTCCAGTTTCCTCCATGTTGCTGCAAATGGCATGAGCTTGGTTTTGTTGTTATTTGCTGAGTATTCTTTGTGTAAATAGACTGCATCTTTGTGATCCACTCGTCTGTTTTAGGGCATTTGGTTTGTTTTTATTTCTTAGCTATTGTCAATAGTGCTGTAGTAAACATAGGAATTGAAATTTCTTTTCAAATTAGTTTTTGTGTTCTTTGGGTAGATTTTGTGCAAGTGGAACTACTGGGTCATGAAATTCTTATTGTGAAGATTCAAATATTTCAGAATTTTTTCTGATTTTTATTTGTAAAGTTTTAAATTGATTCCTCGGATTTTTCCTTTACTTGAATACCTTTTTTTTTTTTTTTT